ACCCCCCTGCCGTATCCTCACCCCACTGCCGCAGGGCAGTACCCCACCTCCCCACCCTACTCGCAAGCCCAAACACTCACCCCAACTGCTCTCGCCCATCACTTTGACACCCTATCTCTACGTGAGCCTACATGGTACATGGATACCGGTGCCTCCCACCACATCGCCTCTTATCCAGGTACTCTTTCTCATGTCTCTTCTCAAACTCTATATTCACCATTATATATCACTGTTGGTAATGGATCTAAAGTCAGCACTACGGCTGTTGGTAGCCACACCTTCCCCACTACCCCTGCCCTATCCCTTAAAAACATCCTTGTCTCCCCTCACATCACTCATAATCTCATCTGTGTTCGCCAACTTACTCGTGATAATAACTGTACAGTTGAATTTGATGCTAATGGTTTTTCTGTGAAGGATCGTCGGACGGGAACCGTGATGCATCGATCCAATGATATGGGACCCTTCTACCCTCTTGGCCGAACAGCACCTGCCCAAGCCAATGTCGCCGCTGTCGATCTTCAGACCTGGCATCGGCGTCTAGGCCACCCCAGCCAAGCCATTCTCCATGGCGTCTCCTCTCTTCCGTTTTTTAAAAATTATAAACATTCTTTATGTCATGCATGTCAATTGGGAAAGCATGTGCGCCTCCCATTTTATTCTTCTAGTCGTGTTTCAATGTTTCTGTTTCAACTTTTACATACAGATTTATGGCAATGTCTTGTTCCAAGCATCACTGATTTTAAATTTTATATGTTGTTATTGGATGATTTTTCTCATTATTTATGGGTTTTTCCTTTAAAACACAAAAGTGATGCCTTTAACCATTTAAACTCCTTTATTGCATATGTAAAAAATCACTTTAACACAACCATCAAAGCTGTGCAATGTGACAATGGAACAGAATACCGAAACTCTCCTCTCAAAAATATTTTTGATTCTTTAGGCATTCTCTTCCGCTTTTTGTGCCCTCACACAAGCCAGCAAAATGGGCGGGCTGAACGCACCATACGCACCATAAACAACACCGTCCGCTCTCTCCTATTCCAAGCCCAACTACCTCCCACTTTCTGGGTCGAGACCCTTCACATGACAGCACACATTTTTAATATCCTCCCCACCACCACACTCAATAATCGCACCCCCCATGCCACACTTTACAACTCCTCCCCTCCTACTCTCACCTCCGCGTATTTGGTTGTCTGTGTTACCCCAATATTTTTGCCACCGCTCCTCACAAACTCGCCCCACGCTCAGCCCTCTTCACACTCATTATAATAATTGTAATAATAAAAGTAATAGTAATATTAATTATAAGAACAACAACAATAATAACTACTCCCTTCGTCCCATCTCTTTCTTTACAGAGCACTATTTTAACTTTGCGAGAATTTTTATTTGTTTATGTTTTTTCATGACATATATGATAAAATAAAATATTATTGTCACCACTTGTTTTGTTAAACTTTTGATATAGTTTTAAATATGTAAGTTTTACTTTTTATTTCTATACCAATATTTAATAAAAAAGATTGAAAAAATTTGAGATTTTTCTTCATTTTGCGCAGCGTAAAGAAAGATATGGGGGCGGAGGGAGTATAACAATAACAAGAACAATAACAACAAAAGCTGATATAACAATAACAATAATAATGACAACGAACAATAACGAAAAATGAATCTTTTGACCTTGAAACTATTAATGTCATTTTATGTTAGGGGCGCAGATCCTCTAATTTGGTTTTAATTTGGAAGAACTTCTTAGATACAACAACAACAAGCCAACAAGGTCTTATCCGAGTAGGTGGAGTTGGCTACATGGATCAAACGACATCATTACGCCCTATCATGTACCATATCTACAGTGAGATCATTCACACGAAGATCTTCCTTGACCAGTTCGTATAGAGTCTTTTTAGGTCTACCTCTTCCCCTAACCACATATCTATTCACCATTTGATTAACCTTTCTCACCGGATGCTCTATTGGTCTTCTCTGCACATGTCCAAACCACCTAAGATGAATTTCCATCATCTTTTCTACAATATGTGTCACCCAAACTTTAGCTCTCATATATTCATTCTTTATTTCATCCATAGGTGTATGACCGCTCATCCATTGACGCATCTTCATTTGGCCACACTAACCTTGTGTTCGTGTTTTCCCTTTATGGCCTAATACCCCATTCCATAAAATATCGCTAAATGGTCTAATCGTAGTACGGTAAAATTTTCTCTTTAGTTTCAATTAAAGGTACCTTTTTGTCACATATAAAGCCCGAAACACTCCATCAATTTGACCAACCCGGCTTGAATCATGTGGTTAACATCACCCATTGTTTCTCCATTGTCTTGAATGACCAAAATATCTAAATCTCTTTACTTTTGGTATAGTATTTTCTCCGACGTTCACCTCGATGTTACTATTTCTCTTTCCGTTGCTAAACTTGCACTCCATATAGTTTGTTTTGGTACGACTTATATGCAAGTCATGCAACTCCAAAGCAGGTCTCCACATATTCAACTTCCCATTTAAATCCTCTTGTGATTCGCTCACAAAGAGAACTCCTTGGATAAGAGTGAAAGATTATGAAAACACCCAAATAAGAGTACTCAGTTTTCTAAGACTTGAATAAGAATTCATACTATCGCTTTTACATGGTTACACTCATAACATTGTCACACTGTAATCGTCACACTATCATTCTTCGCAGCTGGCCACCGTTGCGAATCGCCAACAATTGATTGATCACAATGCCATATTATACTATCATCACTTTTCTATCACACTGTCGACGCGTACTCGTACATTACACTGCTATTATACTCCTGTTTTGATCCTAAAAGACGTGGGACTCTATTTATGTATTTATATACTTTTTTTGCACTTATTCAGAAAGATTTTTTTAAAAAATTGTGTGCCAATATCCTATCCAATGTTGGAATGTGTGCTACCTAGGATAATACTTTGTAGTACGCATTATTTTTCCTTTTTTCTATCCAAGTATTGTTGTTGTTAAAAAGAAGTAAAAACTTCTAACTTCTTTTTAATTGATAACCATTCCAAAATAATTCTCGTATTAAAAAATGAAAATATTGGTTCATAATTTTTTTATGCTATACAAATTTTGACTTTATGAATCAACTATAATCATAGACTTATTTATTGGGTATCATTCAATGTTTAGTTCTCTATAATTGAGAGTTTTTCATTAAAAAAAAGTAAATTCTTAAAATGATCCTTTATAAGCGAGGTTACATTAACATATTTAATCCTTATTTATTAAGTATTAGTGTCATTCCACGTTTAATCCTTTTTCTAACTGCACTAAGACGAAGAATAAAGTGAAAAACTAAACGTGGAATTGTATCGAATTAATAAGGACTGCAAACATAGTATTTGATAAATATAAATTGAATATGAAAATCCTCAAATTATAAAAGACTATTTATAAAATTTACGTTTTTCTAATTGGCTTAGCTTGAGGCGTCTCCTAATTGTAACCTCCACCATAAACTATCACTAATGATAGTCATAAGTGGTGTTTTAGTGGCGTGTTTAATGATGATCATTAACATATCCTTTACACTATACTCTGTTAAAATTTGTTCCAAATATATAGAGATTAATGACCAGTTAACTTCGTAAAAATAAACTAATTTTAAATTTTGCATAAAAATGATAGAAGATTGTTTCAATAAAAATTGTTAAAGATGGCAAACCCACTCATACTCTTCTATTAATGGGTTTACTTGGAATCAATTTCCTATTCACCCTTCTACAATTTTTGGCATATAATTCATCAAAATATTTATTTCATTTAAGAGAGCACACGTCTATAAATTAACAGTTAAAACCGATAGTAGACTTATACTGGTAGTTAATTATGTCTAAAGTTTAATGTCTATTAAAAAGCTAAAAATTCCAACAGAATGTTTTAATTTCGTATTCTTTTTGGTTTAGGAATTGAGTGAAGTAAAAAACAAGTATGGAAGAGTAAGGCTGCAGAAGCAAGGGAGGCATACAAGAAGGAATTGGAAGAATGCAACGAGCTAGGAAAAGGGCAGAATAACAACTGAAGTTTCAATTTCTATCTTTTGATGGTTCAACTGGTTGTTGACCTGAACTTTATTGAAGTGTAAGTTTTTGTTTTTGAGTACATTCCAAAAGAAATGATCATATTCTAATTTCTACCCAGTGGAATCCTTTTATGCACAACCACAGCCTGGCTTTCAATTGTATACATTGTCACTCCATTTCCATTTCACTACCCTAACCTCTAGTATAGGCTGTATATATGTATGTATCAGTTTAAAAGGGACCGTTTGGCGTATTTCCTCCTTGGGTATGGATGCAGGGCAGCCAAAGCACGAACCCGGCGTAAAACCTGCTGAGGAATCGCGGCTCGCATTCCCCTTTCTGCGCTCACCTGCTGTCAAGGAACGATCAGATCAGAAGACATGCATATATCAACAGATGGAAACTGAAAGGACATATTTACATACCTTTTTCTTTCCCGATGTTCCACGGCTTGCATTCAGGAGATTTCTCCATTTGTCCTTTAACAGAGGAAAGGAATAAGTGATTCTTCCATCAAATTTTATGGTAGAAGTAAATGATGTGTAAACACTGCCAAATTATATCGAACCTTCAGGTCTGCGGGACTGCGATGAGGGGACATGGTGAAAAAGGACCTCTTAATGTCAGTCCATCTTCCCACACCGTACGTGGAGACGCCATCCACCAGAGTTATCACTTCTGTTAGAGTCCAGAACTTGTGGGTTCTTGGTTTCACATTCACCCTTTTGGTCCTCTTCTGTTCAGGTTCAGATGCATGGGTCCCATCAGACTCGTCTAAGTGATAAGTTTCGTCATCATCTTCCTCCAACTCAACTGGAGAGTCATCCTCCGAAGCGTGTCGCTGAAATGAAAAAGAAAAAACAACATGCACACTTATCACCACTTGTGAAAAAGATACTAATTACTAGAAATAGATTTTGTGCACCAAATAGGACTTCTTTTGGCACAAAACTAGGTTCTGATTATATCATATACGAAGTACTGGGATATTTTCATTCAATGGAAGGAGCAGATCAATCTTTGGCATCAAAACATGGGAAGATGGACATAAATGGAACTATGGTATTTTCACTTGGAGGACAAATAAATGGAAGATGGAGTTCATATACTTTCAAGGGAAAAGGGTCTTGTTTCACCAAAGTGCTAAAGCTTGTTTTTTAAAATTTTAACAAGGTACACCTTTTGAAAATCATCCGTTCTAGATATATTTCTGAATTTATGCTAAATTTAACTTACTTGGCATGTTCTGACATGAAATATACTGGAAAGTAGATTCTTTTGTTCAAATAATACCCTTGTTTTGGGATTGTGTTTCAAAATAAGACATTTTGTTTTGGGGAGGGTGGAAGAGTATATGCTTTGCATTTATATGTATGTAAGTAATAGCTAACCTTATTCTTGATGGCCATGTCCTTGGTAGGAGGAAGGGAAATTCTATTATAGCCTTGAAAATCCTCGTCTCCAGCCAAAAATGGTACTCTAGGTCCTTCTTCTCTGGGGTCGCATTCAGAATTCTTTCCTAGCAGAAAACACAAGTTTTGGAAGGATTCACAAGAAGAGACTTTTCGTTTCATTTTCGCACGTTTCACCCTTTGCTTTCTTTTGAAATTGAATACACTAGAAAAGGGAGTCGAAGATGCTCTAAGGAGGTCCTCAGTTGTGGGTGAGACTTCAACCCCTTTGTTTACTACATTTGCTGGCATAGACAACCTTAACGCCTCACCACAACCACCACAGTTTCTTCCATCAAAACCAACATAGCAGTCATCAAACTGTGTGTCTCCTCCAAACATTTCCTGGTTGAAAACTGTGTCTAGATTTTGACCGGTTTCATCAAGCATCATACCTAAGACAGGAAACATCAAGAACTCAGAATAAGACACGTCAATCCTCGCCCTGGGAGAAGAAAAAGAATGAACTAATGTAACTACGATCTGATAAACTTACCAATCTGTTTACCCAACAGAGAGTCTTCACATGCAACAAAGTCACAATTTTCTTCTGACGGTCCATCCATATACTGCAATTTAGAAATCCCTTCAATTCTCAGTTTCTTGACACTTAATTAATGAGGTATTGCCCATTGTTGGCATTGCGATTGGGAAGTGCATATTGATTATTGATTCATATTTATTGAGTCATTGATAACAAACTAAAGAGTGCTATTTTCACCTAGTAAAAAGCAAAAGGAGGTAAAAGAAAAAAGCTAAAACAAATAAGAGTGCTGAGATTAGTTTAAAATGAACTTTTTGTAATGCTTGTTTAGTTTCATATTGGTAAAATCCAAATCATAAATGGGAGCATACCTGTTCTACAGTTTTATGATCTTCAGTAAAACTTGAGCGCAGCACCTCTGATGAAAACCATAGAAACCATTATTTCCAAAAATATACAGAGCTAAACAAAAAATGTGCAAGTACAAACTAAGTGGCTCTTATTATCTTATATCTCAAACTAGGAAAGAACTTTACCATCATCTGCATAGCAATAGGCAGAATCATGTAGATATTGGTTGGCATAGAGAGTGCTAATATCCAAGATTGCATCGACTATGTTACGTTTGGGTTCTTCTAATAAAATTTGCAGCCACATAATTTCATCTTCCATCTCTGAGAAGACTGGACCTACTTCTGCAAACTAGAAAAAAAACAAACAAAAAATAAAAGGGTATGAGTAGGAGGAAATGGTAGTTTTTTCCTTCAAATAATGCCACATTATAAGCTTTTTACTTCTATGGACTTTTTAATGCAACGCACGTCTAGCAATGGGTAGTTGCTTAATTAGGGGACGCAATTAGTGATCGGGTTAAATGTTCACAACGAACGAGTGGATTGAAAGAGAGTTTCCTGAAGTTGAGTACCAAAGGAGAGTCCTCCATATAAACTTCTGCATTTTTCTCTAGTTGGTTCAGGTTGTATCCTGATGCCTCATATAGAAACCCTGTTTGGCTCCTCTCCCTAAAATTGTCCCACATTTTCTCTTGGATCTGCATGAAAGATGTAAAACCGAAACATCATATGTTTGACCCAAACATCAAATGTAAATTCCTAGTAAAACAAAGTAGTCTAATCTTTGGCAAGCACTGCAAATGAACATAGCACGTGTAAGACATACTTCAATGCAACACATTGACCATCGTTTCTCACGACCAAACACAAAAGTTAACTGAAAATAGTGTTTCTTGAAGTTGAGTACCAGAGTAGAGTCCTCTTCCTCTATATGAGCTTCTGCATATTCTAGTAGTGGGTTCACATTGTATCCCGATTCTTGGAATAGAAACTCCATTTGGCTCATCTCCCTAAAACTGTCCGACATTGTCTCTCCGAACTGCAAGAACAAAATGTGAACACAAAATAACATATGCTTGACCCAAACATTAAAAATCTTTGGCAGACAATGCCAACATACATCATATGTACATGTAGGACAAGAATGCAAGCAAGCAGTGAACAACAATTGTTCAAGAGGCAGAACAAGAATGTCATTGTACGGTGGGGAGTGGGTAATCACCTTATTACCATAACATAAATTTACCATTCAAGCCCGGAAATCAAGAAAATTTACCCCAAAAAATCAAAAGATAATTTCTAACCATTCAAGCCCGGAAATCAAATATCAATAGCAAATCATTTCTCGTAAAAAACAGGAAGATAAATAGTCCAATTCAGAATGTTAAAATCAAAGAAACGAATCAAGAAACGCAGTAAAAATCAAAATTCGTCTCTAATTCTCTTCCAAAAACATAGAAATTCAGAGAGCATCAAATTAATCTCCCCCGGCAAGAAAGAAAAGTGCACGAAGTGTGCGGGCGACATGGAAGAACAAACAGCGGAATCAGAAGGAACAAACACGAAGAACAGGAAACACATGCAGATCACAGTGGGACATTACAACATGTTTATGAATGAACTCAGAGACTTACGAGGAGAGGAAGAAGACCGGAAAGATCTTCCCGCGTTTTCCAAAGGTTGTCGGAGAAGTAATGTGTGGCGAAGCAGGACAGAACAGGACAGAGAGTTAGGGCTCTGTTCTGCTTTGGAAGAACTGTGGACGTGATGTGGCGAGGATAAAGCGGGATTGGAATTGGAGTCCGGGAATGGAGACACGTGGAAGGCGGGGGGAGCAAGGGTTCGTCCCAGCCGTCCACGTACCCCCGATGAACTCCGTACGACACCTTCTCCTCGGGGACCACCTGATACCTGCTTCTTGGAAGAGTGATTGGTGAGTGAGTGTATGACTGCCAATGCCCTTTGCATGCTTTCTTTGGCGTTAGTGTTCGCTAGTCGACCCTCCGTCCCAATCTAAATGGCATGTTTTTGACTTTTAGGCATATTTAAGAAAAATAAAAAATAGAGTTGATCGTTCGAAATTGACATTACTTTTTAGGAGGGGTGATGATGAATGAGAAGATAAGGTGAAGAAGATTGACTTATTTTAGGGGTAGTTTAGGTATTTTATTTTTAAAAGTTTACGAAAACAACTAACAGGCAACTTATTTTGGGACGGAGAAAAAATGCAAACAGGCAATTTAAAATGAGACAGAGGGATTATGATTTTTTAAAAATTTAGTTTGAATTGATCTGATTTGGTCTCATTGTAATAATACTTTAAATTATTTTTTAACTTATCTGGTCTGATTTGATTTTAATAAGAATAAGTAATAAACTGAAAAAATCAATTGAAGAAACAGAGCCTAATTCATTTAAGAATTATAGTCTCATTTTAATTTTTTTAGCCAATAATTAACCACCACACTCTTTAATCATAAATTCAATATGTGGTATATTTTTCAATGAACAAATGTTATATGGAGTACTATTTTTCTTTATAAAATTTTTTCACTTTGAAAAAATGGGATCTAATTAATATATAATTTCAACATTACTTTCTAATTTTGTCCCAATCTGTTAGTATGATAGAAAACGATGCAATAAAATGAAAAATAATAAATAGATAGGATGTGATAGATATTTCTTTTTAGTAACGCTTAAATTTATCGGTGTAGTATCTGTTAAGTATTATAATCTCAATTTTTTAAGCGCAAGATCATGGCTCGACCATTAGATGTGGAGAAGCTTGAGATGGTTTCCTTGCCCCTACGTCAACATATTTCTACATGCGATAAATATTTCCACATGTGATCTCTTGTTTTGTACTCTCTCCGTCCTAATTTAAATTATCTGTTTATTATTCACATGATCAAACTTTAATCATTTTTCTTACTCACTTTTGTTATTCGTTTGATAAAATAATATAGCCATACCACATGTTTTATAAATACATTTGGAAACCATTTCAATCAAACATCGTAAACTACAACAAACACCTTAAAATAGGACGAAGCGAGTAGAACTTTAAATGTAGTTTTTCGATATAAAAATTATATTTTTAAATTCCACCCCAATTTTCATATAAAACAAGCCATTTATTCCGAGAATTCCTATGGATCAAATTCGTGTGAACAAAATCAGCATGGGACTCTATCAGAAACAAGCACAACACCAATTGATTCTAACTAATTATGAGAATCGGAATCACAAAAACCACTCAATAGAAATAAAACCAAATAAGGCATGTTTTTTTTAAAAAAACAAAATCCTTTTGGAACGTGTGATATAAGCCACTTGGCACAAGGTATGTGTTACATACAGGTATTTATTTCCTTTTTTTTTAATTCTTGAAATTCTCCAATTGAAACAATGGTTCAACATAAAATGAATGAGGAAAAAATGGATTATTATTTATTTAAGGGCACTCGAATCACAACTCCCTAACCGTAGGACAAGTTATGCAAATGAGACGTGCATATTGCGGTTGTAATAAGCACATCCCATTTACCTAACCGGTTTTCTAGGGAGTTGCAATTCATAAGAGCCAAAATCAAAAGAATCAATAAGTAAGAAGGCTATTATTATCATCCCAAACTTGCCCTAGTCACCTCATATGCCAAGAAACAAGCTGCGTTTGCCGGAACACTTCTGGCCATGGCTGGTCCAAATCCCTTGTAGAGACCCTTCACCCCTTCGGCTGCAAGAATCTTTCTGAAAGCATCAATGGAGCCAGAGAACTTGGGGTTTTTGTAATCGTCAACCTGAAGTACGCTCTTGATGACATCAGTTGGGTACACGAATGCCCAAAAGGAAGCCCCGGCTAGGCCTCCAGCTATGACCAAAGAGCCTCTACCCAAGCTTGAGGTATCATGGCCACCGGCAAGGTACTGCTTAGTGGCCTCATAGGAGCCAAACATTGCTGCATTTCCGGGCACTTCGCGAGCCATAGTGGGAAGAAGTCCCTTGAAGAGTCCCCTTGCCCCTCCTTCGGACTTCAGAACGTGTCTTACCACATCCATTGGCCCGGAATACTTCACTCCTGCCACACTGGCCCCAACTGTACTCTGTGCCTGCAATCTGCGTTCTCATCAGACATTATAGCCACTCGATAGCTAAGTGCATTAGTTTAGAAGAAATCGTGTCTGCTGAAGGCATATCTAAGCACAAAAGCAAACTAATCCTCTGTCCCTCTTAAAAAGAGTCCAGTTTCAATTCTAGTTTGTCCCAAAAAAGAAGCTCGGTTTAAAACATCAGCATTTATTGTTAAATAAATTTCTATAAAGCCGCCAAGCAGCCTTAGCCAATTACTCCAAAGAATATTTGAAATATGTTTCAGGAATATAAATAAAAACATTCATAAAGCTTCTACCCTGATTGAGTTTGACTAAAACTAAAAAGTTGTAGCTTGCTCGATCGTGACTCATTTTTTTGGGATGAAGGGAGTACAAACATTTCATAGCGCTATGTATGTAACTCACACTGCTTACTGTGCATTTAGTACACATTGACCATATTGGTGTTTGAAATGAAAATTGAACCACAATTTCAATTATTAGTTGCTTCCTGCAGGTTTTCCTACTCCACTCAAGTGGTGACTGCTTAAAAATGCAAATACTATTATCCCTCGTCACTGCCTTTGAGGAATACTAATTCTCATTATGGATGGCTATTGTTTCTGATATCATATCAGCTTTTCTTAGATGACAATACAGCTTCACTTAACTGATCTCTTAGGGAATGTCCGGACTCCATAAGTTACTACTTACTAGGGAAACAAAAAATGTCATTGAAAGTCATTTTGTTATGGTTGGTTTTGCTTTGGGAATCTGTCCATTGCCAATGGAGCTAAAAGAATCATTATTGACAATTTTTAGTTTTGGGCACTTAAAGGACTAAATCCAAGCGGGAACAGTAAACTACCCTCGCTTGTTACTTTCTCTGAAGTTTTGGGCAGTAAATGCTGCAATGCATCTGGGGTCTAACTTCTAAGAGAAACAACCTCTATGTTTTTGTAAGGGTAACTGTGTGCATCTTGACCACCAGATGCCAATGGAGTTGGGATTATAGTGGGTTGTTGTTGTTGGTTTTGCCTAGGGAAATGTATCGAAAAATGAAACACTTTTTTTATTCAAATTTACATTTGTTTACATTTATTAGCCACTTCATATTGTACCAGAGTACTAAATATAAATAAATAAATTGAATACTAACTAATACAGAAATACGTAGTATATAAAACAGTTTGAATGAATTTTATCTTTTATTTTCATACATATGTTCTTTCTTCCCATTAAATTTTCCAAGTATTTTTGGCGATCCAAAAAGAGCCTAAATTACCAACTCCTTTACAATATTAGTTCTACTCAAGCATCCTGAATTCTAGCATACCAGATGGGAAACACAGAGCAGCAAGGATTGAATAAGTGCAAACTGACACACCTGCATTTGATTAATTCAGTTGGGCAAGCAAGAAAGGACACAGCAGTCCCTGCCCCTGCCCCACAAATGATTTGCTGGCTCACAGTAAGGGGAACACCGGGTTCAGATCTCACCAATGCTTCCATTTGACCTCTAACAGTAAATAGCACCGCGTTGAAGGCTGCCACAGTGGCAAGTGGGGCCCCCATGCCTTTGTATAAACCCCTTGGACCTTCTGCAGCGATCGTCTGCTTCACAGCATCAATGGCACCCAAATATTTTGGAGGCTGCCCGGGAAGGGGGGCAGGCTGACTTTGTAGCTTCACCTTAATGGTATCAAAAGGATGACCGCATATCAATTGTGCAGCCCCTCCAACAGTCCCTGAGCTCAAATCTTTTGCCACGTCTCCCATCGGCAAAAGCTTTTTTTCTTTAAAAAATGGTCTGCAGAAAGTTACTTCCAAATATCATTGAGCCATTGAGGTTATGGTGAACGAAATATGAAGGTGAAGCTTTAAGGCATGCTCTCTTTTCAACTTATTTTCAGAAGTATCGAAAAAGTTTAAGTTTATATAAAAAGACTCAAGTAGTTACAGAAAGATTCAGAAAGTTTGAGCCACTCAAAAATATACCTCTAATTATTCAGAAACCATAAAGATCAAGAAAGTTCCAATTTCCAATCCAGAACCATTTAGCAAGTTCCACACATATCCATAAAAGTTTTAGGCGAAAAGAACAAGCCCAAAGTTGGAAGTGGTAATGAATATCTATGAGCACAAATCAAAGCCAATAGAAAGTCTACATACTAACATACCACACTCATACATGGTACGATAAAAAAGATTATACGGAGTAATTAAACAAAACTATTATAACAATAATGGTTTTTCAAACAAAACTATTATAACAATAATGGTTTTTCCAAGGGTGCAACATCTACTTATCTATCATTCAAAAGTCATTTTACTTTCATGGAAGAATATATTTAACTTATAAATAGCTTACTAGGGGGTATAAGTTAAAAACTACGTATCATCAGCAATAAATCAATCAATACCAGAGAAACACAATCTAAATATAATTTTTAAATCAATGTTATAAAAACACAATTTATGATCAAAGTGACATAAAAAAGTCAAATTAGGACCAGAATTTTGGGATGGAAGGGGTATAATAATCGATTCGCAGTATATAAAAATCACTAAATCAATTAAAAAAAGATACTCCGTAGTAAACAATGAACAATCATACAGGAGTTACCTTGTCCGCGTTGCTGGGAATCTCAGAAGGTACAGAGGGTGCGGTGAGGTAATCGGAGGTGGAAGAGCGTACGTTAGCCCGTCCCGGCAGTCAAGCAGATGCAGATCGTCCTCGCCCTAAGAATTTGGAAGTCGCTGAATACAGCACTAACTCCGCCCCTCCCCAAAAAAGAATCTATATTTAACCACCAAATCTATTTAAAATTATATCCTTGCAAAAAAAAATAATATCCAAAATAGTTTATACATCCTCAATCACTCAATCCTAGTACTTCCTCCGTCCCTAAATATTCACAACATTTGTTTTTTTAGCAATCGTGAGAACTTTTGTTTATTTCGACGTTTTCATTGGTTATTTGATAAAATAAAATATTCTTGACACTTCTTATTTCGAAGAACTTTTCAAGTAGTTTTTTTATATGTAAATTTTATTTTTATACCAATATGTAAATAAAATGAATTGAAAAAACTTGATATTTTGCCTCGGGAATACAAATGTGGCAAATAATTTGGGACGGAGGGAGTACATATTTATCCTAGTATATATTTGTCCACCTTCATTTTTCAAATAATACAAGATAAAAATTGATCTTTAATTAAACAAAAATTGTAATGCATATTAGTATAAAAATGATTTCATTAGATACACTTTGTTGAACACTTTCAAAATTTTACTCTCTCCGTTCCAAAGTGTTTGCCACATGTGCTTTTTCAACACTCACAAGAACTTTTGTTTATTTATAAGTTTTCATTGATTATTTGATAAAATAAAATGTTCTTGACACTTCTCATTTAAAAAAATCATGTAATTTTTGAATATGTACTGTAAATTTTTTTTATATTTCTATACCAATATTTAAATAAAATGAATTCAAAAAAACTTGATATTTTGTTTCGTTTTTTGAAATGTAGTAAATATTTAGAGACTGATGGAGTATTTCTTTGTACTAATATACAATACTGTACAAATTAAAAGTAACTAAAGTTTAAACTTATCTAATTTGGTTTGAAAAAGTCAAACGGGATAAAATACTCAAGCGAAGGTAATAATGTTTTTATAGCTTTTAAGAACTTTGCCATTGTCGAATGTTAGTTATTTGACATTAACAGTTTATATTATTTTTAATATTATATATTAAAATTCACTAAGATATTAATACATATTTGACATTAACAAAAAGAATAAATAGAGTTGATTTTTCCCAACCTTATTACTCCCTCCGTCCCGTTTTAAATTACTTGTTTTAAATTTTGAGCATATTTAAGGAAAAGAATAAATAGAGTTGATTTTTCGAAATTGTCATTACTTTTGGGGAAAAGCGACGATAAAAGAGAAGATAAGGTGGAAAAGAGTGACTTATTTTAGAGGTAGTTTAGGTATTTTACTCTTAAAAGTTTACAAAAACAAGTAACAGACAATTTATTTTGAGACGAAAAAAAAAGCAAACAGACAATTTAAAATGAGACAAAGGAAGTATATATTAAAATTCACTGACGTATTAATGTCATGTCATACGTATTTGACATTTATATTGTTGCAAATTCTTCCCTCATTTTTTGAAGGAAAATTTCACAACAATAATCCGACAAATTTCAGATTTTACAAGAATACTCTAAAAATCAATTAATTACACCATTACTCCCAAAATTACTCCTTTTTTTTCAAAAACACTCCACCCACCACCTTACTTGCACTATAAAATTGTGTAATACTACCTCCGTTTCTCAAAACTCTTTTGACTTTGGGGGAAAATAAAGAAGTGTTAAATTGTAGTTGACTTTCCAATTTTGCCCTTAATATGATGGGTAAAAGTAAGATGTGATAGTTTAGTTGTTAGTGAAAAAGTATGATGTGATAGGTAGGATATGAAAAAGTAGGGGTAAAAGTGATTTTTTAATAGAAAGGGGAAGTGTTTTAAGAAAAACAAAAAAAATGAAAGAAGAAGGTTTTAAGAAACGGAGGGAGTATCTAAATAAATTTTTAAATATATATATGTGCAATTCACTTCGGATCACCACATAATGATCATAATAGTTGTGCAATTTAGAGCCGAATAACTGCTAAGTAAAACAAAATCACACACAAACAAACTGTTTAAATTTGTTTATTAATGTAAACCCTCTGGAAAAGCCATCATAAAGCACATTAAGCGTCCGTTTTGTACACGGAATTGCCATTGAATTGGGAGTTCAAGTTCTATGGATTTGATTTTGATCCAATTCGAATTCATTTTTGGCATTACCAATTCCAAATCCACATGTTTCTGTGCTTCCAAAAACAGAACTGGAATTGTTGTCTCCAATTCCAATTCTATAGTTTGAATTCCGTCTACTAAACGAAGCCTAAGGTTTTTCCAAAAAAACACTTTGAAACTATTTTAAAGTAATAGCAGCTTTGTATAAGTTTATGACGAAGAGACGGTATGTAGCAACTTTGAAGTCATACTAATACCACCGCATAACGCGAACCGTGGCAAAGTTTTGCTAGGAAAGTCGAGGCAACAAACAAGGCCTACATGAGCAAGGTCTTGACTATGGACTTAACGTTGAGCTTCTTCAGATCCGTATAGGACTGCCCACAACCCACAAACATGACCGGCGCACCAGATATGTAGACCATGGATAATGCTGCTCCCACCTGCAATCCCCAACCACATCGAATTGAATGGAAACTATTAAATACTAACAATAACTATCTGGTGGAGAACAACGTTTCAAGTAAGCATTTTGAACAGAAATAAAAAAACAGGTGATTTTTCCCTGAAATATGTAGAACCGACCCTACCAACCACCCGATACATAAAAACTGAAAAAAAACAAAAAATTGACAGAAAAATCAATGGTTGATTTATTTTGTTCTATTTTATTTCCTAAATATACATTCATCAAATTAATTCTAACTCATTTATGCTATTACTTTTCTATATATTGGTTAGTTCATTTTTCGGTCATCAGTTTCACAGTCAGCTGGGTGCCTAGGTTAAATGCCAACCCCTAGTTTTGAAAATTAATTTTTTAATAGTGCAAGTTAACTTTTAAAATGCTAAATTGAAGGGCAAACGGTGGATACCCTTTTTAAACGCTAAGGCTAATGCCAACAGACACTGCACCTGTTCCATCAACAAAGGCAAATAATACCCTGCAATACTCTAAACTTTGTAATTTACCTTGTCGTCAATGGTGTCAAACTTGGTAAGGAGAATTCCGTCAATCAATCTTGGATTTGGCGAGGGCGATAAATCACCCAATTTCTACAATAAAAAGCAATCATAAAGTTCATATAAGACTACTATGAATTGGCTAAACTAACTCTTCTTTCTTCACTCATTTATTAATTTTTTAAAATACGTAATTTCGGCATTTGATTTGCTTGACGCACAAAATGAAATGGAAGGAGTGTGTTGTTGTGTCCACATGTGCTGTGAAGTGTGTATCATTATGTGTCCATATCACGTAAGCCAAACTACGAACCTGATTGAACTTTGACAATTGGTCGACAGCGTCATTCCCAACAAGAGCCTCACCAACAAACAGGATGAGATCTGGATTGTTGACATAAATAAGCTTTGATAATGCTCTCATCAATGGTTCATTATCCTGTCGGGAAGCACATCAGGACAACTAAGAACAAGGTATAAATACGCAGGTAAAAATTTTCAACCCACAAGAAGACTTGAAGCGTTCTAGACTGCGGGATTCCCTAGTTTCATAACATACAAGACATATAAGAGGATCTGAAATTCAAAATCAAATACCTGCATTCGACCGGCAGTATCCACAAGAACAACATCAGAACCATTGCGAGAGGCCTCTTGGATTGCTTCCTTTGCAACAATCGCAGGATCTTTCTCATAGCCCTTCTCGTATATTGGGATCTATGTATGCCAAAGGTCAGGCATCCCAAAAGTATTCACATAATCTTACATGATTCTAGGCTCTAGTCTACAAGTAGGGGTAAGATAGGCGTACACCTACCCCAGACCCCAATCTGAGGGACTTTACTGGGTTTGTTGTTGTTGCTGCTTATATGATTCTAGAAGAAGAATACTACAACAAAATGTCACAACATACCTGAAGCCTACGTGCATGAGTACGGAGTTGCTCCACGGCACCTGATCGGAATGTATCACAAGCTGCCATCATCACATTGATCTTATGCTGCAGAAGCCAATAAGCAACCTGTATACAGCAGAGAAAAGGGTTTGTCAAATGCACAAGGCATTCCTGTGATATATAAATATCATAAAGCATCCAATGTTAATTAAAACCTTCGCAAGATTGGTTGACTTCCCGACTCCATTAACTCCTACAAAAACCACAACGTATGGCTTCCCTTGATCTTTTGCTGCATGAACATCCCTTAGAATATCTATGGAGCGTTTAGGAGTCAGTATGCGGATAAGAGCATCCTCCATTGCAGCCTGGTTTGTAGAAAAGACTTTCATATCAAAATTTCACAAAGAGTATGACGGACTTTAATCCACAAGAGATAAGGCAGTGGGCCGTGTACAAAGATTTTACAAGTATGATAATTAAAGAGTTTAAATACGAGAACAAAAACTTATAGAACGAGCTTGAATAATGATAGTGAGATCCCTACCCAAGAATGAAGAGGTTCTATTTATACCACGTAGGAGTGATGGGCACGGTCCATTATTCATGGATGTGATGGGGTACAACCGCTAGTCAAATCCTTCCATGATGTGAAAGCTAACACCATGTTTCCTTGGAGGCTAGTGAATGGGGTCATGTGTTTGACTCCACATGCCTGGCGCATGTAAGAAAGTGGATAGGGGGCGGGGTCGGACTTCACATGATCCAAATGGACCACCCGAAATACTACAATTAAATGAGTGGACTGGGTATGCTGAGCCTAATAATTTATATACTTTGGGCCAATTCAATCTGGCCATCACAGTATAAAATTTGTGCTTGAAATACTATAATTTAAATGCCGTTTTAACTGCTTTGTCAAATTTTTAATTACTCTTCCAATGATACCACCTTTTTATAGCATGTTACTAGGGTATTGGTCTTCTTACCTTAACTATAGAAGAAATTCTCGTAAACGAGGCTTGCTTTTTACCCTCAAGGCCAGCTGCCACTGACTCACATAGCTTTTCAGCAATTTCCTCAGCCTGCACAGAATATCATTAAACCGTTTGATGAAAGTGTAAAATTTTAAAAGACTGTCTAGTACGGAGTATAAAACCT